AGTTAGGCCCCCCCTTGCCCCTTTTGGGCTAATAATGCCACCGTCAACCCATTAGATGATTATTCCTAGGGTCCCCCCTACACTCCACCCAATATATCACTACTACTTCCCCATTATCAATACAAGTATAGGAATAATCAATTACCGCATCTATTTTCTCTAAGGTGGCATTATTACCCAAACTGGGCAAGGGGGTCCTTGTAGAATTTGGTTCAGGGTTTAGGGTTAAGGGTTGCACGGATGCGGACGCTCAGCCTCTTTTGCAACTGTCGTTCCTGTCCTGTGAGCAACGGCATGTCTTCAACTTTGCCTCATCTTGTCATCGAACTTTTTACAGCGAACATAAACCAAGTCCCAATCCTTGGACTTGTGGCTTTTCCAGACGCATTTCTTGCTTCTGTCGCGGTGATCCCACAATGCCAGTTTTGTCTTCTCGCCTTTCGCGAGCTTCTCCTGCAGCAACGCGTTTTTGGGATTGGCGCCTTGCGTGTGCTCCTCTCCGATGCTCACCTGGATTGCAAGAACCTTTGCGCTACGGCCTCTCTTGTAGCGCAAAATGCTGTCCAGTCTGGGGTAGTTGCTTTTGTTATCCGGAGTGAAATAACCGAAAAGGTTCGTATCCACATAACCTTTGTCGTCCCAATGCTCAACAGGCTCGCATTCAGCCACGGGCTTCAATTCCGCACACTTCACCGCGACAGTCGTCTGCACCTTGCCATCTTTGTCAGTGAGTGTCAACTGGACGTTGCCCTTCTCATTGATGCACTCCTCCCAGAAGTAGTGCACGAGAATCTCAAACGGCGTTCCTGCAGCGCCTGGGTTCAGAGGCAGTAGCGCCTCATACATCTTCTTCATTTCGGAGAAAGTGCCTTTCTTGTGCGCCCTGATGCTGCGGATGACGTATTCTGAGCGAGGCACGATGTAAGCGGACACAACACCACGCTTGAAGTCATCCTCAGACACATCTGCATCTGGGTTGGCGGGATTCTTCGGTTTGCGAAAGAAAGCCAACAATCGCGAGTGCTCGTGATAATTCCTGTTGGAGGTGGGGTGCTGAGCCGGCGTCAAGAAGTTCTGCATGTGTTGCTCCTGCAGTTGCCCCACGTCCTCCGAAATGTTAGACTCGTCCTGCTCGGGTTTGAACCACAAGCGAACAGAACCACCACAAATGTCGTAGACGTGCTCTTTCAGCGTGTGTGCACTACCCTTCGCTGCCTCAACATAAGATTGAAAATCATCTTCCGACCAACTCCATAAGACAAGCTTCTGAGCATCGATGTTTCTGTCTTTGCCTATGATGTTCTCCTGCGCGTGTCCAGAAGCCAAGCCCATGAACTTGACCTTCGGGAAGGGCTTCGGCTCAGCGCTGCTTTCCAGAATGGTGCGCACGCCCTGAAAAATTTCGTGGGTTTGAAGGGGGAGCTTGTTCCCCACATCGATGATGCAAACATCGCCCTGGTTCTCGGTCAGGACTTGCAAAAGCACGTAATAGTCCCAGTCTTTCATGGCATACGTCTTCTTGCTCTTGAACTCGGACACCACAATCACCTCATTGCCTCTGATGGTGACATGCAGTGTGCGCTTCCCTGCCGTCTGCAAGGCATGGGCAACCAACCAACCGCACCACGTCTTGCCAGTTCCGGGGCATCCGACCAAGGAAACCAAGCGCTTGGCATCCTCTTCAACACTAGCAGACAAAACATCAACCGCCACCTTGTGAACATCGAGCAAGTGTTTGCGCAGAAAAATGGGTCGGGTCGCCTCCGTACTTGATGCCAACCTTACAGAACCGAACAACAACTGAAACACAACTAAAACACGACAACCCCCCCCAAAGAAAAGCTCTGAAACCATCCAAGGCACAATCTCGTGAAACCTGCAACGTCCAAAAGATTGTTCACCTCCAGCGCCGCCAACTCGGGCAGTTCGACTTCTGCCTCCCTGGGCTTTGGCAATGCCGCGGCAGGACTGGGTGCTTCAGCCTCGCCCACAACACATGAAAAACCCTAAACCCAACTAAGCAACCCAATCAACTAACCCAATCGGGAAACCCTACGAGGAAACCAAACCTAGGGGGGAATAAACAACTACGCTACAACCAAAGCGCCACCCCGTAAACCCAATAAGTAAGGTAATCAACTAAGCCTATTTGGGGAATACAGCAGGAAAGCTGGTAGGTGAAGACCCAAAACTATGCTGTGCTATAGCCGAGGAGCAGTTGGTTCGTTTTTCTTCCGAAGGCTGTTTCTCAACTGCAAGACCAGATCGTTTCGAACTTTGACATCTGGTATGTCGAGCAAAGCGACAACGTCCGCAAACGACCCTTGAAGAATCGTCTCTTCCGTCATATCTGCATATGTGTCTGCTGCTTGTTGCTTCGCCTCAACCGGCACATCCAAACCCTCAACTTGTTGCAATATCCAGACATGTTCCGTCTTCTGTTTCTTCGGAGGAGGAGGCGACGACATTGCTCGGAATTTGGACAAGTGGAACGTTAATGCATTACCAGAGCTGCGCCCATGCTGAGCCATTCTGCATTTGGTTTCGTATGTTCGCGGTCCATTTTACAAGTAACATCTCAAGCCGAAGCAAACATGACAACGGCTGTCCCGCGCTCAACCAACGACATGCCAAAAGAGTTGTGAAATTAAAAACCTTAAAAATTGAAGACGATTTGCACATCTTCGCACAAGCCTTATCAACTTGAAACTGCAGTCTCAAGTTGGCGAACGACTCTCAACTTTAAGTTGTAAGAAACGCCAACATTTCTCTCAAGTTACGAAAACCAAACAATTTCAAGGACGAACGAAAAACTACTCCGTTCAACCCTCCAGTCGCAAAAAGCCCGATCCACTGCTTACACAAAGTTGGGTTTAGGGCTTAGGGGTTGGGGTTTGTAGTTCAGCCTAATTTCTAGTCATGTCGCTAATCTGCAATCGACTCAACAAGCAAGTCGCGAAGCTCAAGTTGTCAGATGCGTTATGACTCACAACTTCAAGTTGCAAGTCGTAAAACAATTTACAACTCAAGTTGCGAAAGTCCCCGCAACTTCAAAAACGCAGGAAGAGCTACACTTTTAACAACTCAAAGCATAAATACGCTCTATTGTTACCTTCAACATAATAATATTTTTGACCCAGTTTTTTCATCAATTCTTTCTATGGTA